GTAAGTATATTTTGTTAGTATAAAGTATAAACTGGACGAGGGCTATGCCAGCATATTGTATTCATCATTGATGTAATCTTATACACATGTATTTGATGAATATTCTTGTACCTGGAATGCTGTATCATGGACCTGTCGTGCGTCAGGTGTTATCCTGGGCTGAAGTGTGAAGGCCCCTAGCTCCAAGCGGATCGGGGTGCTATAGTAGGATTGTTCAGGATATGGCATGGTGTCATCACAGGGCCTCTGTAGGGTGTGGGAAATGTTTGGACGCGTTTCGAGTAAGACTCCCCTGAGGTTGCTTGTAAACCGCACCGTCTCCGAGCTAGTATCTGGGTATCGAGAGGGAATGTGTCATTTGTGCAAGAAGTGCTGGCCATTTTGCTCCGTTGGCCTCAAAACTTCTCGTGCTCTAAGAGGAGGAACCGCATGGCACGTTCCACGGCCTCACATTTTTCGGGGATGCGCGCAATATTCGAGAAAAATTATTGCTCTACTAGGGTTTCATTGCCGGAAATTGCAGATCAGCAAGGTGGCACATGAAATTATGCTGGGTAGCGGCATGGGGAATCATTTGTGATGTTCTTGTGGCATGCCTACACCTTGCACAAACGAGGGAGGGGCATGCCCTGCCACCGAGTTACCAAAAGTACCTCGGTGTCATTCCTGATGCAACCGTTGAAATCCTTGGAAAACCGTACAATGATAGGATTGCTCGGGATCTGGCACGGTCTCGTCATAGGGCCTCTGTAGGGTATGGAAAAATTTTGATGCATTTCGATTAAGCCTCCCCTGAGACCGCTTGTAAACCGCACCGTCTTCGAGCTAGTATCTGGGTGTCGAGAGGGGACGTGTCCGGTTTGTGCAGGAAGTGCTGGTCATGTTTCCCCGTTGGCCTCGAAACTTCTCGTTCTCTAAGTGGGGGCAACCGCATGGCACGTGCCACGGCCTCGCATTTCTCAGGGATGCGCGCAATATTCGAGAAATTTATTGCGCTTCTAGGGTTTCATCGCCGAAAATTGCAAATCAGCAAGGTGGCTCATGAAATCATGCCAGGTAGTGGCATGGGGAATCATTTGTGATGTCCTTTTGGCATGCCTACACCTTGAGTGGATGAGGAGGAGTGTCATTTCTGAGTGCCGCTCTCGGTATGTTAGCCATTTTCCAAGAGTGCTTTATCCTTTGCCGAGTGTTTCTCTCGGAAAAGGTGTAAAACCTAGATCTAGGTCTCGTACCTTTACCGAGAGCGCACCGACAGACGCTCGGTAAAGGTCGGCGAACACTTAACCCCCCGCACGCTCTCTTCTCTCTCTCTCTCTCTCTCACTTCTATCTCTTTCTCACCGACACCCCCACACCCCACTGGCGCCCCCGTCCCGGTCGGCGCCCTCCGCACCGCCGTCCCTCGACCCCACCGGCGCCCTCCCCACCGGCGGCCCCCGCCCCATCGGTGCCCCCCCTTCCCACGTCGCCGGCGACCCCGCAACCCCGCCAGCACCACCTCCCCCTCTCAGTGAGCTTCATCCCCCTCCCTGATCTTGTATTTGTGCATGAGTGTATGTATGGATGCATGGATTTTTATATGGATGCAAGGACTGATGTATTTTTATATGGATGCAAGGATTGATGGATGCATGGATGTATGAATGTATATATATGTATGGATTAATGCATGGATTGATGCATGAATTGATGCATGAACTATTTTTTGTAGTAATTTTTTTGTAGTTTTTGTTATGTATCAATATATATATGGATCTATCTATGTATGCATGAATGCATAGATGGATGCAAAGAAGCATGGATGAATGTAGATAATTGTTAATTTTTTTGTATAGATAATTAATTGTTGATGCATCTAATAGTTCTTGTTGTTCGTATGGATGCTATATGGAGGGAAAAATCGACTTTCGACGATGACGGTCAATCTAGGCGAGTTCTTCTTGTGGTATACATTTGTCACGCACGATGGACTCGCCTAGCTTGACCATCACCGAAAGTCGAAATATCTGTGAGATAGTGTCCACCATATATACCACCATTAGAGAGAGTTCCACCATATATACGTGAGAGAGATGAGAGTTGTTCTTGGAGAAAGAAAATTGTGCTTTGTCGATGACGGTCAATCTGGGCGAGTTCTTCTTGTGATATATAGTTGTCACGCATGATGGACTCGCCCAGCTTGACCATCACCGAAAGTCGAAATATCCGTGAGATAGTGACCACCATATATACCACCACCAGAGAGAGTTCCACCATATATACGTGAGAGAGATGAGAGTTGTTCTTGGAGAAAGAAAATTGTCTTTTGCCGATGGCGGTCGATCTATGCGAGTTCATCCTGTGATATACATTTTTCACGCACGATGGACTCGCCTAGCTCGACCATCACCGAAATTCGAAATGTCCGTGAGATAGTGTCTGTCATAATTAATTTGCTTAGAAGTAATCTTTGATGTTTGATTCTTAGGCTATTTTTCATTGTGTGATGAAAGGTGTTAGCATCGATCGATTTCGAGGCTATGGCTTCCTCCGACGACGCATCTTCCATTAGGGTCGACTCCGCGGTCAAGGAGAAGCACGCCGAGGACCGCTTGACGGCGCTCATTGAGGAGCACCCGCAGCTGATCCTGATAAAGTATTTTGAGGATCTGGCCAAGAAGAATCCCCTAGCCAAGGAGAAGAAGGCCCCACCACGTAAGGAGTGTGACGACTCGATGCTATTGAGTCCACCGATGTACATTCCCGGCGACGCTTGGTCCTCCATTGTGGGGGATTCCCTGACGTGCTCTGACTCCACAATCACCGGTTTCACGGACTACACCTCTGAGTAGTCCACCTAGATAGTTTGGTGTTGATTTAGTGATATAGTCATGTAGGTGCTGATATGGACTTCTTAGATTGCCACTTGCGATGCTTTTGATTGTATGAGTGATGAACGCTTACGTGGATTATGTATGATGTGCTATTTTTAACCTTGCATTATTTCTCTGCCTTTTTCTCTATCTTTGTAGATGAAGTGGTATGCGGTGTACAGAGGTAGATGTTCAGGAGTCTACATTCATGATCTGAATGCAATGAACAAGTAATTTACTATGAAGGCAACTCCCACGACTCGTTCAATAGCAGAGGGAAGGCAAAGTATCATTACAATCAATATGTGCTTAAGCAGAAGACAAAATTTGAATTAGTGGGTTCAGTGGATGGGTTGACTGGATGTGCTAGCTAGAAACGGCTTATCGGGTTTAGTGGAAGGAAGCACTTGATAATTCTTCTTCAGTTTGTGATAATTATGGTGTTGCTTTTATTTTGTGGTCGCGTGTAGAAATGCATTGACCACTTTACTGTTTAGTAAGTAGGCATTTGTACTAAAGAGCTACCTTGTGATCTCAAAAGAAGTTCGTGTGAACTATTTTATGTAATGGTTATGTGAGTTTGTTGTTAGACATTGAGACTTGAAATGCATGTTTGTGTGTTGTATATACATATTTTTACGGTAGGGATCTAAGGGAAAGCAGTAAAAAGTTGTCTGGGAACAGATCTTCGCCGAGAGCCACTCTCGGCAAAATGGCATGCGCTGGCGGTTGGTTGTGGCATCTTTGCCGGGAACCACTCTCGGCAAAGAGCCACCATGTCAACACACATTGTTATGCAGAGCCACTCTCGGCAAAGAGATGATGGAACCAGCCGACGTGAAAGTCACTTTATATTGCCGGGTGGTACTGTTTGGCTCTCGGCAAAGTCTTTGCCGAGTGCCCGTGTTTTGGCTCTCGGCAAATTCCTGTTTGCCGGAGAGGTGCACGTCAGGTGGTTTTTGCCGAGTGCAGTACTTGGCAAAGGATTTACCGGCGGGTTTGGGCCCTTTGCCGAGCGTCCGTGGCACTCGGCGTATAACTCGATTCCACTAGTCATGTTACAGGCGTGGTGGTTCACCCGGGTGGTGAGCAATCAACAGCCACCATGTCAACACACATTGTTGGACAGATCCAAAAAAACAAAAACACGGTGTTGGTCCCTCGCGAGCTCCATGTATGTTCCTCCTCGTGTCCTGGCCGTTTAAGCCGACCAGCTTTCACAAACACTCCTCGAAAAAAAAAAGAGCTTTCAGAAACACTGAACTTTGGGCAGGCAGGCATACTGTACACTTTGAAACTCGTACCACGCGCGCTGAGAAAATCAGACTTGGCGACACCGCGACAGCAAGCGGATCGGAGCAGCCGAGAGCCGACAGCGCCATTGTGATTCTACTGACGGCGAGACAGGTGAGTGCATAGGTTCCACAAAACTAACACGGAGTCTGACCAGAGCTGCCCAGTAAGTATATTTTGTTAGTATAAAGTATAAACTGGACGAGGCCTTGATTTGACTGGTACACCTCCACGTCAAACAAACAAGTACTTGTATACATACATTGACAATCAGATACGCGTCAACACATGGTGTGCCATATCCGGAGGTGGTTGCCATGGACCGACCGACGTGATGATTGATAGAGCCATGCCGCAAGCCCGCAACCTTGTTGTCTTCCACGGTACTCGTGAACTGCGATCAAAGTATACTTTGTCCAGTTTCTTGAGACATCTGTTGCTAGTGGATTGGAGCGCAGGTATTAGGTATATAGCCTTCAGAGTCGACCGTGATGGTACTATTGTTTTTCCATTATACTCAGATTAGTAGCCGTCAACCGCTAACCTTGGATCGCAAGCGCGCGGTACTGCTAGTGCTATCTACGCTGAGACCGAGAGCTCACCAACAACACGTAGCCTTTCTCTCTGCCTTCCCTGTCTAGCTAAGCTCCATGACACAAACTCATCGGCAGGATGTGCTCCTGCTTAAACAATCCTCGTCTCCTACCCCTTGGTCGCCATTCTCCTACTCCAAAAATGCATGCATGCGTGCGTGCATGTGCGACCTCTCCAGCTGGATCCCCTGACCTCACCCTGCCGCATTTTTTTTTTGAACACAAGGAAGGCGCCATCAAACGCCACAATTTCATTCAACTCATAGACAATGTACAGCATGAGTTACATAGCCCTGAACTTGAAAATTGAGAAGGGACTGCAGAAAAGGGCAAGGTACATTGGCATGAGAGGAACGTGAACAACTAAAGACAGGTTCTACTCTCGAGTTGAGAACCTGATGAGCACAATTGTGAGCAATTCCATTGGTATTCCTAGAGATGTGATAAACAGCATTAAGAGAATGGGAGATTTGAAAGAACTCGCTAATTGGTTGTCTGCACCTCCAGCTGATGTTGGTGTTATTGATATCTCTTGAAGCAGCCATCTTTGCTAATGAAAGATTGTCAGTGAGAAAAGAGCCTTGCTGAAGTTGAAGCCTGCAAGAGATTTTAGCAGCAAATAGAAGTGCATAAACTTCAGCAATAAGAGGTGAACAAACATCATGAGTAGAGGCTTGAATCATTATTCTTGAATCAGAACCCTCTTCAGGAAAAAGGATGTGAACACCAATACCAGTAGCCGGATTACCACCATACCCAGGCACATTCTTCTTATGCCAAGAAGCGTCTGAATATATTTTGGTACCTGAAATAGCCAAGTCAGATTTGAGGGTGGAGCCTTGCTGTACTTGTTCTTGCCCTTGAGAGAGTATGGTTGTAGATTGCTTCTCCTTCGAAGAAGGCAGCTCCCTATTTAGGTGTTCTTGGGGATCTTGTATATCTTGGACAGAGGCGATGGCTAGAGCAGCTTGGTGAACTGATGGGGATGTGATTCTTTCCTACAAAAAAGAACATCGTTTCTTGCTTTCCACAAACACCACAAGAAGGTAAATATATTAGGAATAGATGATTGCGGATGGTTCATGTTAATTAGAACCTGAATAATATCAAGAATAGAATTATGATTGAGAGCAAGAATATCAGATCTAATATATCAGGGGTGCCCGAACCAAGAGGCTCTAGCAAAGTTGCAAAGAAAGAAAAGATGCATTTCATCTTCATCTGAATCACATCTAGAGCATGTAGAAGAAATATGAGAGGAAAACCTGCCAGCTCTAAGACCAGTTGGGAGAGCATGCCTAAGTAAGCGCCATGCAAAAGTTTTAACCCTTGGAGCCATGAATTTGTGCTTCCAGACTTGCTGCAAAATATCTTTGGTTGATTGGTTCACCTGTCTTGGTTGATTTACCTGCAAATTATGAATTTGTTGTAAACACAACTTATATGTACTCTTAGAATTGCATTTACCAGAAGGAGTGGGCTTCCAACAAAGGATATCCCTACTATCATCAAGAACTATAGGAGTTGCAATAATAGCCGAAGCAGTCGGTTCCTGAAAAAGGTTAGTAATGAACTCAGAATTCACCCTGCCGCATTATTGCCGCCCGGACTTTTCCCTCCAGCGAGCCTGTGAGTATATACTGCACCTACGTGCGTGCTTGAAACGTGGTGCACACACTGACCGCCACGGCGAATCGCATGGTCAACCATCACCAAAACCGTTACCACCTTTGGCTGTCGGCGCGGCGCCGCTGCTACCGTTTCTCGTATGGAGAGAGAGAGAGAGAGAGAGAGAGAGAGAAACGGCCGGTTAGTTCGTAGGTAGAACATGCATGTTCAGACGACTGGTACATGTACTAGTAAGTGCATTTTACTCTTGCATCATGAACATACGTACGCATACCATACCAGGTTGCTAACTAGTTTGCCATGCGCGATGCCAGATTTTTCTGGAGTGGTTTCGAGACCAAACCTACCACCTTGCACCTGAACGGCAAGCATGCAGAGAAAGCCGTGAGTGCTATGCACGTGCATGGCGTACGTCGAGGGCTTTCCTTTGGTTGGTCTGATCCGTGGACGCAGCTCGCTAGCTGAAGCTGAGCTTAGTTTAAGCATGGTTAGTACGTACGGGAAGCAAAGCAAAGACTAGCTGTAGGTACGTGTGCATATCCCTTTAGAATCACTCACTGAATGCGCGCGCGTACTGATGATTAGCCAACAACCTCCGGTCAGGGCGATGGATCCCATTATCGGTGGGCATATGCGCCTGCCCCTCGTCCCTATCTGGTGGCTCACTAGCTGACGTGCCCTCCCGGCCATGAGACGATCCGTGGTTATCCCGTAGGCGTAGGACACCTAACCTATCGGGGGGTTGTTGGTGCATGTTAGCATGTAGGGTGGCACGGTCACGGTCACCGCGTTGCCTGCATGCCGGGGACGGGGAGCTACTTGGCACTTGACTCTGCCGCCGCCGCGAGCCATATTATTGATGTGCATGCTGACGACGAATGTGAATGAGACCATAAAGACGCTGCTGATCATAGTCTGCTAGCTGCTCTCCCGACTCTCCGGGCGATCCATCGATCGATCAATCTCCGCCGGTGCTGCCTGCTCAGCCCTGCGGTGCGGGTCTGAATGTGATGTGAATTGCCATGCTTTCTCCGTTGTGAGCTACCTACCAGTCGCCTCTATAAAAATGGCCACGCCCACGTGACGCCCACTCTCTTCTCTTCTCTCCCTTCTTCTTACCCGAGCACTCCGGTTTAGACACTTTGACCAGATTCCTTTTGCTGCCTTCTTCCGGCTGGATTCGCACTCGCCACGGACGACCGGTCACGGTTCCGGCCGGGGCGCCCGCCGCACGTGCGCTTGTAGGGACACGCGCGTCAGACAGGGTGAACGCAGCGGCCGCGCGCGGCATGCAGGCGGTAGCCAAGGTACGGCGCACGCGTCCCTCACGTGCTGGTGCTCGCTGCCGACTTCTCTCGCGGCGCGGCGCAAGCTCCGGTCGCCCGCGCCGCCCGGGCGTCACGTGCTGAGCTGAAGGGTCCATGCATGGCGAGCTTAACGACGGGTTCGTTTTACAATGATCGAGCCCATTCGTAGACGTAAGCTTCCGTATGAACTCGCGAAAATACGACGGGGCGCAGATCTCATCACGCCCTCAAGAACGTTCGTCACCGGAGCGGCCGCAAACAGCTTTTGCATGCGTGGCCGGATCACACCGGTCGAACGAACGGTGTCCCCATGCGGTCGAACCCAACGACCGACAGCCAACCCAGCGGCGTCCGGCTATGTGGGCGCGTGCATGCAGGCCACGGGGACGTGCCGCCCGCAGAGCGGCCGAACGACGCCAACCAAAGTAAGTAAACGCCGCGGCGTACGCATGCACGATGGGCCTGGCTGGGCATGCACGGCATGGGCTTAACCGCGGCGCTCCAGCAGCAAAATTTCGGTGGACAGACCGACAGCTGCTTGCTAACAAACGCGGGACCCGGCCCTCGTGTCTCCCGGCGGCCGCTTGTAGGAGTACTACGTACCTGATGCTGATGCTAATCCCTTGCTTCCTCCATGAGGGACATAAAGCCCCCGATCCTGCTCTCCGGCCTAGTACAAAGTTGTTGCTTCACCACTACATCATGTTTTATGGTCGTGTATGATGCTAATCATGGTATCACGGTCAGTGTCATGTGTATTTCTGTCTCAGATGGCCGGTGCATCGTAGTATATGTGCAACAGCCTTCTATGTCTCGGTCGACCGAGACTTCGGTCTCGGACATGCTATACCCATGAGATCTTACATAAAAATTCATGCAATTTTTTTCAGCGCTTTCTCTCTCTTACATGTTATATATTTCCTCCGTGCCAAAATAAATTTCTCGAGTTTGTATTAACTTTAGTGTAAAGTTATACTAAAGTTGAAACACTTATTTTGGGACAGAGTGAGTACTTGACTAAGACTTGGTTAAATCTCAGCCGATCGAAATCCAGCCACACCCTGCAACAGTCTTAATGTTCATGGATTCCCGGCTCAAATATTTTTAAATGGATTAGAGGTGGTAGCACAAGTTTGTGTTTGCATTAAAAAAACGCTATGCAAGTGGCAAATTGGGTAGGAGAAAAACGAAGTCCCCCTTGGCCCCCGTGTCGCTCCCGCAGGGGCGACTCGGGCGGCGCCAACCCTAGCCCGCCTCCGGCCTCCCTCCCCCTTCTCCTCTACCCCGTCGCCACCGGAGGGGGTCGCCGGCACGCCGCGCGTCCGTCAGGGAAGGTGGCAGCGGGGATTTGCCTGCTCCGTCGCGCACGGGGGGCCCTGGAGCCGAGGCGGCGGCCTCGGGTGGTGGCGCGACGCCGTCCTTAGCCAACGGCGGCCACGGGTGGTGGTCGGCTGCCTTGGTCGCGCGGGCGGCAAGGCAGCGGCGGGTTGAGGCTGCTGGACGCCGGGCCGTGGGGGCGCTCGTCCAGATCTGCCGCCTTCGCCTCTAACGCTCGGGTCCCCTTTCAGATCCTGTCTTCGGTCGTCCCAGGCTGCCGGCGTCGGGTTCGAAGATGGGGCTGGGGGCGGTGTAGTGCCCGGAGAAATCCAGGCCGATTCAGCCGGCCACGATGGCGGCGACGCCCGCGGGCGCCGTCCCCTACCTGTAGGCGCCGTTATGGTACTTCTATCCCCCTTTTTCCTTTCTCCCGTACTCGTTACCGGGCGAAAGCCAAAATCCTTCTGGATTGGGCGGCAGCGACGCGCGTGGCGTCGTCACCTTCATGAAGGTGTCGCCTTTGGTGAGTTTTGGGGCGTTGGCGAGCTCGCTCCGTTGGTAGGCGTTTGGTTGCTGCATGGTTGGAGTCTGCGGTGTCTCGGAGGCGCTTCTTACTGTGTTCGCCTACTGTGTGGTAGCTCATGGTCATCTCTCCGCCCGTCAGCATTCAGAGCCCATTTGCAGGGGATTGGGTTCCCCTTTAGTGGGTGTCGTGGTCATTGTGTGTGTGTGTGTGGGGGGGGGGGGTGCGAGCTTGGAGCTGTTAATTGCGAACTGTGCGGCGTCTCTCTGCTCCGCATTGGGCTCCCTCCATTGCAGCTTTGTCATCAACAGTCTCGCCGTGCATTTGCTTCTCCTCATGTGCAGTTCCCTCTCAGTGCCCAGGTTCCCCTTTGTTGAGCTCAGAGTTGCATGTTGGCGGTGCTCTGGTTTGGTCTTCCTGGTGGCAACGGTGGCGATTACTCCTCTTAGCTCTTGGGAGAGCATATGTATCTTCCGACGGATCGGCGCCTAATGCCAACCGAGGGGGCATGGAGCCCCTTTTGAAGATGGAGGAGGGCGTATCTGTTTTGGTCGCAGCCCACGGAGCCGACAATGTGATACTTTCAATCTACTAGTTGTGTCTCCTCAAGGCCTTCTTTGTGCCACTGAGCGGTGGACTGCGATCGGTGGAGGGCTTCATCCTCTTCAAGCTGCTCTTGGGCTTTAGTTTCTTCATCTTTGCTTGTAGGTTGTACGAAGCTTGCTAGCTGTTGCAGAGCACTATGTATCTCTTAGCTGTTTTGTTTTTCTGTTCCTGTAAGTGGGTTGATGATGTAATACTGGCCGGTTGATGGCTTTGTTAATTTAAAGTCGGGCTCGACTTGAGCCTTCGTTCTAAAAAAAATGCTATGCTTCCCCGCCCCGTCTCCAAGGGGCGAGGGTGGCGACCAACCCTACCTGCTGCCTACTGCCGCACTTCCATTGCTTACTGCATCGTCGAGTGTCGTCGTGTGACTGTGTCATCCACGACTGCCTTGGCTAGAGTGTCCACTCAGAACACAACTCCTGGACATCATGCATCGCCAAGCTTGATATCGATCATACATACTACGATGTCGATGATAGCGTGTCACTATATCGAGGGCTGCTTACTATCGTCATAAGACCATGTCCCTCCATATTAGGCTCTCAGTGAAAACCATTGGTTTGTTTTGACGAACTAGAGGACTGTGGTGCTAAGCGGACAACCCTCTTTCGGAGGCTATGGATTGGTAGCCTTTGGTCTTTGTTGGCCGGTCATCACGTGGTTGGTCCATAGTCAGTGTCCGGGTTTCTGTTGCTATGGTTTCAACCCACTGTAATGTCCTTCTCTGAGTCCCTTCTATCCACAGTTGACATTTTGTCCATTTGAACACTCATGTATATATACCGCTCTATAACATTCCCTCCGGACTAGCATACAAGGTCTAGCATAACCATCGATTTAACTAAGAATTAGTACGAGTTATTTATCATAAAATGTTTATCGCTTGACTTGCATTATGATGAAGTTTCTAACGATATAATCCATCCATTTAATAATATTTGAAGTTTTAGGTTTGTCCCAAGCTAAGCTTTTATAAATTCAACCAAATTTGCAGAATAGATACATACAAAGGAGCGGCGTGCACTACAATTTTGAGCTAAAAAAAATACTGTAGTTGGAGCTAGCTGTTGTCCGGTACTTTGGAATGTCCGGCGACACAAAATCATCAGCGCCTCCATAATCCCGGTGTCCGTTGCGAGCAAGGAAGGACCATGCCGCGCTCCCCTTTTTCCCTTTGGCCGCTTTGCGATCGCCGCACCTTTATTCCCAGACACGTTTGACCCGTTGACCGTGATGTCTTGCTGCCGGCCGGTAGTACCACGGTTCGTCCCGCCGGACATGCATCCATCGACCTGACGCACGCGCGCGCGTGCATGCATGCTACGGGACGCTGCTATCTGATCTGCATGCATGCGCCGCAGATCCACGAGCGTACACACCACACGACCAAGGGCATGAAGATGAGCGCACACACCACACGACCAAGGGCATGAAAATTTGTACACTGCCGTGCGTGCACGGACGGCTGCCACGGGAGCACGGAGCATTTGTCACCTTCTGTTGGCCGGTCGAGCTGACCGGCATGGACGTGACCAAGTTGATCAATGAAGAAAAAAGAGGGCCAGTAGAAAAGAAAGAAGGAAAGAAGCCGAGCCAGAGCGTCCGTCAGGAAGAGGCCGATCGAGCCTATCCGTTCAGCGCAGGGCACGCCATGGCCTCCTTTGCTTCGAAGGCGGTCAAGATACCGCCTCCCCCGCCACCCCTACCGCGCCTCCACCTGTAAAACACCGCCTCGATCTCCCACGCCGCTGCCACGGTGACCGGCCCGACGCTTGAGCAAACAGCCAAGGCCAAGGGCACGGAGGGGCGCGGGGGTAAAAAGCATCTCTCACCGCCTCGGAACCCACATAGAAATATACCGCGGCTGGCACCGTGTCGTCTGCCGCGCCTCCTCTATTTTAACGCCCCTCGAGTCCAGTCCACCGCCCATTCTTCACCGCCCCACAAAACCAATAGCCTTCCTCCTGCTTCCCCGCCTCTCCCTCGAGAAGCGAAACAACTCTCGCTCGCTCGCTCGCATCGAGGAGTTTGCTACTCATCATCATCTGACCATGGACATGGACGCCGCGCATGGCCACTACCCGTGGCTCAACTTCTCCCTCGCTCACCACTGTGAGTACTACTATCCCACTCCTCTAGCCTCCAACTCTCGATCGATCTCTTTCTTCTCTTTCTTGGTCGGGGCGCCGTCGTGCTCATGTGGTATATGTGTGTGCGTGTGCAGGTGAGATGGGGGAGGAGGAGCGGGGAGCGGCCGCCGAGCTGGCCGCCATCGCCGGGGCCGGGCCGCCGCCCAAGCTCGAGGACTTCCTCGGGGGCGGCGCCAACGGCAACCACAACGGAAGGAATAATAATGACGCCGGCCGCGGCGACCAGGTTGTCTCTGCAGCGACCGCGGAGATGTACGACTCAGAGCTCAAGTTCCTGGCCGCCGGATTCCTGGGCGGCGCTACCGGAACCACGGCGCCCACTATCTCCCCGGCGGCGGCTCCTCAGGAGCAGGCCGACCCGAAGATGCCGGCCCCTGCGCCGGAGCAGAAGAAGGCCGTCGACTCCTTCGGCCAGAGGACCTCCATCTACCGTGGCGTCACGCGGTAAGCCAGCTATATGCACGGCGGTGATCCATCCATTGATCCTTCTAGCTATTTGGCCAAGAAACCTACAAAATGGTGCCCCTGTTTGGGTTCTTGAGCTCTCTACTGCTTCTGCTTGCATGCAAATAACTGGTCCATATTCGTCTAGATGCAAATATCACACCAGTACATGCACAAAAATTAATCAGTAACCTGCAGTAACAACATACTAGAAAAACAGAGATGATAAAGCTAATTAAGTTGTTGATTCTCGGCGTAATAAGGTGTTCTTTTCCTATGCTCGATCAAGTTTTGGGCTGCTCATCTCATTTTACTGTCCATTTTTGGGTGATTTTTAGGCACCGTTGGACGGGTAGGTACGAGGCGCATCTGTGGGACAACAGCTGCCGGCGTGAAGGCCAGAGCCGCAAGGGCCGCCAAGGTGACCACACGATACTACTTAGCACAAATGATCAAATGCACACATCGTTTTGCTAGCTGTTCCCAACTTACGCTTCTTGATGTTCTCAACATGTCAACTCGATGTGTTTCTCCTTCATGGCTGTTATTTCTGCTGTCTTCTCCCTACAGTGTACCTCGGTAAGAAACGAGAGTCTTCTAGTTCTTCTATTTTTTTAAAAAAAACTTATCTGTGTGGGTGACGCTAAAGTGTTGGTGCTGCATGGAACAGGTGGCTATGATAAGGAGGAGAAGGCGGCAAGGGCGTACGATCTCGCCGCGCTGAAGTACTGGGGGTCTAGCACCACCACCAACTTCCCGGTAAGATGATAGATAGATGGATTGCAATGCATAATTGCAAAAACTCCTGGATATGTGCAAGAATGTGCAGCAAAGCATGGGCATATCTATCGATGTGCTGGCCGGATGTGTATCTTTATGCGGCAAGTGTTCTTTTTTAGGTTGCCGACTATGAAAAGGAGGTGGAGGAGATGAAGCACATGACACGCCAGGAGTTTGTAGCTTCACTTAGGAGGTACATACATACATATAGGCTACTAATCATGACCACTTCTAATCTTGTACTCCCTCCGTTCCTAAATATAAGTTTTTGTAGAGATTCTACTATGAACTACATCGGATGTATATGGATGCATTTTAAATGTGGATTCATTCATTTTGCTTCGTATGTAGTCTATCCAGTGAAATCTCTATAAAAACTTACATTTAGGAACGGAGGGAGTAGCATTGTATGCATGCTCACATGACATGCACGGGCTTGGCCATTCCATATGCTTCATCACATATACTTTAGCATTGCTATGGTATTCAAGTGAATTTGATGAGGAAAAACATGTCATTAATCTTCTGCAGGAAGAGTAGTGGTTTCTCCCGTGGCGCTTCCATATACAGGGGTGTCACAAGGTTAATATTATCCTCCATGTTTCGTGTGTGTTGATCGTGTCTGGCCTCTTGCATGTGGTGTCATCTAAAAGTGTTTGTTTTGCATTCTATCATATAGACATCACCAGCATGGTCGATGGCAGGCGAGAATCGGACGGGTTGCTGGCAACAAGGATCTATACCTCGGAACATTCAGTGAGTATATACTACATCCTTGTGCAAAAACTCCATTTTCTGTACTTAATGGGATGCAGATATGCATGGTTATCTACTTTAATTCTCACACTGCACCCATTGGTTACTAAACCAGGACATTTCCTTCTTTTTCTATGAAACCAGGATATATCTTCGCTAGTAGCTTACATTATCTCTTTTGTTCCCAAAAGGAGAACGAGATATGTGGATAAATTAACTAAGAGTCAAGTGAGAGTACAATCCTCCCTTAACTTCTTGGGTAATGAAATCTCAAGTAGGAGGGGAGCACGTGTTAGCCCTCCCCTCGAAGCGGGCATTAGTCGCATCTTTCCATTAACAACCACATTACAATACTGTTGCCGTGCACGTAGGTTCATCTTAATTTACAGTCTGTTCGTACAGGTCTTGTAGCTAGATTCGTCGACATATTTTTTATCGAGGTCAAAAACCATCTAGTTTGACCAGATGCACCCATGGACCACGTGTATCTACAGGCATGGATGCCCACATTTGATTCCCATTTGTCATCTTTTATGATGGTTTTCGGGCTTTTTGCATGCAAGGTAGGGGTGGAGAAAAAGAAGAAACCATGGCCATGCATGCTTGCTCGGAATGTATGCATGTTCCAATGCTCAGATGGGAGCCTGAGCCCTTTCTTCCTGCATTGCATCTAGCAACCTGTATTTAGAACTTGGAATATAGTTGCTGTTTTCACGGCCAGCTTTCCACAAAGGGTCTGACCGGTGATTATATTAGGAGTGTACCTTACTGAGACGGTCATTATTGCTCTTGGTTTAACTAAGCTCATTGCGCTCATGGGCTTGAAAGTAGTAGCAGCTAATTAGTCAAAAGTCTTGATGATGCAGCTTGCATTGCTGTCTACGAGCTGGAAATCCATGGCATTCTTCTCCAGACTTTGTCTATGTCCTTGTATACCATATGTTTCATTTGTGTTTTTCTTAAGTGAAACGTTTCATGTGTTGTTCTTTTTGTTGTAGCAATGACAAATGTATATATGCTGATTTTTTACTGCAAAACATTTAAGAATGCCACTTGTTCTCAAGCAACTGAGATTTTGATAAAATCTAACAACTGAGGTTCTGTTTACGTAGGCACCGAGGAGGAAGCCGCGGAGGCCTACGACATCGCGGCCATCAAGTTCCGGGGCCTGAACGCGGTCACCAACTTCGAGATCGGCCGGTACAACGTGGAGAGCATCATCAGCAGCAACCTCCCGATCGGCAACATGTCCGGCGGCGCAGGGCGGGGCAGCAAGGCCCTGGAGTCCAGCTCCCCGGAAGCCGCCGCATTGCCCGTGGAAGCGCCGCACTCGCTGGCGTTCACGGCGCTGCCGATGAAGTACGACCAGCAGCAGCAGGACTACCTGTCGTTCCTGGCCCTGCAGCACCACCAGCAGGGCAACCTCCAGGGGCTCGGCTACGGCCTCTACAGCTCCGGCGTCAACCTGGACTTCGCCAACGCCGGCCCCGGCGGCGCGATGGCGCCTCACTGCTACGGCAGCAACGCCGGCGACTTGCACCTTCAGCAACACGATCAGCAGCAGCAGCAGCACGAGGGGGAGGGGCAGGAGCAGCAGCATGATCAGCATCACTCCATGGGGTTCGGCGCGTCGACGCCCATGGCGGCTTTCAGCAGCGGCGGGCCCTACGAAAGCTCGGTGACGGCAGGGTCCTTTGGATACTACCCAAATGTGGCAGCCTTTCAGACGCCGATCTTTGGAATGGAATGATTCGGGGCGGTGGAGAATGAAGGTGGCCTGGCCCTGGCCCTGATGGATGCGATGTGATGAGATCAAGACTGACATAGTTCTCAGAAGCCACACAACACAACAAAGAGGTAAAAGAGGATGAGGGGGGTAGGGTAGGGCATGATGGCATGGTGCAAACATAGGAAGCAGCATGCATGGATGAGACGCTGACAGGTCAGACGCAGGGTAGAAGACGACCACTGTGCTGTGCTAACAACAAAATGGGTCTCAACGCAAGCAGGCAAGCAAGCAAGCTGGCTAGCTTTTATTTTAGTCTCTTTTAGTTTCTGTTTTCTGAAGTTTCTTTTCCCTTTCGTAGCTTTGGCCACTATGCTTTTGTGATGGCTGGCTGGGCTTTGTTGTTTGTTTGCTGCCCTCCTACTGACATGATTCTGCTGGAGCCATCATAGTTTAGCCAGCCAGCCCTGTAGAATGGAAGCAGAGCAGCGACCTCTTTGTAGCTTTGCTCTTTTGCGCCTTTTTTTTAGGTCGATCGCTTTAAATTAGGGGAGTGCCCCCCCTGCATGTACTCCTGGGCCGGCATGGTCGCTCCAGGGTTTAGTCAGAGAGGATATATAAATTCCAATGTTCATGTTTACAATTACTCGGTGCTTGTTACTACAATAGTATCGGTAACTCTGAATGATTAGCTTACTGGCCAGTGCTTGAATGTATATAGATCATTTATATCTGGATACAGTTTTACTATGTCTCGTCGATATTGTATCCTTCGATGTTGCATGGAGATTTATACCAATTTTCTGTTTCTAGTTTTCCTTTTTCTTTCTTATATACTACTCCCTATAGAGCGCATAGGATTTTTTTTTTATTTTGCTAACCACGTGTCCCAGGCGGTAGAGCGTATAGAATTTTTGAAAAGTCAAACATTACAAACTATGACCGAGCTTATAGAGTAAACTATTCATATTTATAATACAAACTATAAAAAAGAATATGGAACTATATCTTATGATGAATCTAATGATATATATTTGGCATTCTAGTTGTAAATATTTTTCTTCACAGACTTCATGAAAGTTTGTGATGTTTGACTTCTACAGTTAAGCCTAAACAGAAAACAATATAAGATTCGGTTAAAAAAATCAGTGAAGCTGTTAAAAAATTAAGTTAGCTGCACAAAGGCACTTAACTGCCCAAATGGTGTTAACTTTCAACACTAAATTCAGTTAAGTGTAGAAATGCATTTAACTGCAAAAATGCAGTTAACTGTTAACAAAGCTGCACAAATTTTGCCCATCCACTCTGCTTCGGGACGGGGTGTCCTGGGCAGAGGTGGTGGGCTGCATGGACTCTAGGGTTTCCTTCGGCCCGGAACACACGGCCCACGTGGATCCGGACCAGGTTGTCCTCCCGCCCGGCTCGGCCCGCCCCCTCTGCCGCTTCCTTCTTGCCCTTTGGACCCCTTCCCGCGGGCCTTGACCCAGCGTTCCCTGACAGCCACGGTCCAGCACGCCTCTGCGGCCCCTTGAAGCTGGGTGTGGCTGCGCCTAGGGTTCCCCATTGAGCCACCTCCCTCCTCCATCTTGGACGAACTCCTCCCTCCCGTCCCCGACCTGGTTCTGCCGCCGCCGCCGGCTCGTCCTTCGCCCCCTCCCACCGTTGCGCCGCTGGCCACCATGGCCCGCGAGCGCGAGCACGAGGCCCCGCGCCCGAAGCGACGCCTGGACGACCGCGATGACCGCGACCTCCCTCGCCCCTCCTGGGAAGGCATTCGCCAGGAGGACGAACTCTGTCGTCAGTTGTAAGCTACCCGGAACCCCCTGCCTCCCACTAGGTCGGATCGCCGCTCCCCTCCTCGTGACTAGCACGAATCCCGAGAGTACGGCCGTTCTTCCCATCGGGACAACCGCAACTCTCCGGGTCGCGGCCGGTCCCCAGCTCAGGACGGCTACGCCTTCATCTCTCGCCGGCCTCCGGCCAGGGATGACCGGAGGGACTCCCGACGCTCCCCGGACTCCTGCGTACAGTAGCCCCGCCGCTCCCAATACCCTGTCCGGCGCCAGGGCCGGTCGCACTCCCCTGCTCGGGAGCAATCGGTGCCGATGACGTCCCCCACCCGCCGCTACCTCCCGTCGCGGAACCAACCGCAGCTTCCTCCGGTGAAGGGGCCAGCCAACTCCCGCGGCCGCCAAGGCGCCAAGAAGAAGAAGAAGCGCAAGGGCCCTCCTCGCACCGCCTTGCCACCATCCTCTGCTGCCACGGTCGAGCCTAAGGCCTCCGGGGATGCCCCCTTGCTTCAACTGCGGCATTCCGAGACATTTCCAAGTCGCCTGCCCGAACCCGCCGATGTGCTACCTCTGCAAGGACGCCGGTCACCCTGCCATCCTTTGCCTCGATCATCCGGTCTCCGAGGAGCTGATGGTCTACGGGCATGGCATCGAGGGGATGGCTTTCTTCCACATGGACATTCCTGATGTGCCTCCTCCTGAGCCTTCCCTCTCCGCACTGGTCACAGTGATGGGTGACGGTGTGCCCTCCACGGAGATGATCGAGGCGGAGCTTAACGACCTTTGCCGGTGCCAGTGGGACTGGCAGGTCACTCTGACAGCCGACCACCAGTTCTCTGTGGTCTTCCCCGACATCATCAGCCACGGCTATTGCACTCGGAGTGCGGAGATCACCCTGGCCCTCAACAAGTTGGTGGTTGACAGAGCCTAAGGTGGATCCGAAGTTGGTGGCGGTCTTGGACACGGCTAGGATATTGCTCGCGGGTCTCCCTGACATTGCCCGATCCGAGCGTGTGATCCATAGCATGTCTCGCATGTTGGGCAAGGTGGTGGTGGTCGACGAGCTTTCTCTCCGCAAGGAGGAGGAGGTCCGGGTCAAGATAAAGCCCCTTGGCTCCAACAAGCTACGGGCTACGGTTCGCATGTTCTTTAACGACCTCGGCTATGACATTCGGATCTTGCCCGAGCCCCTCAACTACATTGGCCGCCCTCGGTTCACTGACGATGGCACCGGTGGGGGCGGCCATGGTGGCCACGGGGCAGCGGCCGTGGCCACTCCTTCGACCGTCGTCGCTACCGCTCGAAGGAGGACGACTACTCTGAGCTTAGCCACTCTCCTTCTCGGGATCCACCTGCTCCTTTGAGGGGTGCTCTCGGTGGGGGTACTGCTTGCTCGCTGGCCCCCTCCTCCTGCCGGCTAGCCCTACCGACTCAAGTGGAAGCGGCATGTTGGGCGCCAGCATGCTCGTGGTGTCTCCTTCATCACCCAGGTCCCCCACCTTGCCATCGCTCTTCGTAGCCCTGGAAAATGGCTCCTCCCCGGCCTCTCTGACCGTCCCCATCCTCAACCCCGCTCCCCTACTAGTTGATGCTGCTCTGATGGATAGCTCCTAGGCTGCCCCGCAGGATGGTCTCCCTGATTTGGATGGTGAGATCTCCTCCATCGGGGACCCCGATTCCAGCCTCCCACAGCCGGACCCTCCATCCCCTCTGCCTGCTCCCGCTCCTCCTGGCTCGACGCCCCTCTCCGACACCCTCGACGCCCTATCACCGAATTCGGCCCCACCATCACCCAAGACCGGGTCCGCGGTGGTGACCGCTAGGGTATCCACCCCGGTTGTTGTGCACCCTCACCCCCCTCAGACCGCCTCATACTCCAGGTGGGTGAGGGCGTCGTCGACCCCGGTGTCCTCCACCAGGAGCAGCGGGCGACTCGACGCGGCTCGTCCAGTGGGACGCCCGGTCCCGTCCGTCCCCGAGCGGGCTAAGTTCCGGGCGGCGGCCCGGAACCTCGACATAGGTACCACAATACCCCCAGACTCCCATGATCATTGCTCATTATCTGCTCTCGAGTCTGCACCTCTCGGTCACCTAGCTAAGGTCACGGCTGACGCGGCTATAGTTTTCAGGGGGGGAGTGGGTCTCCCCTTAGTCCAGATCGAGGCCATTCGTGCCCGAGAGATCCCGGAGGGCAAGTTAGCGGAGTCACGTGCGTGCCTCCTGATACGTCTCCAACGTATCTATAACTTTTTATTGTTCCATGCTATTATATTATGTGTTTTAGATGTTTTATATGCATTAATATGCTATTTTATATTATTTTTGGCACTAACCTATTAACCTAGAGCTCAGTGCCAGTTTCTGTTTTTTCCTTGTTTTTGAGCTTCGCAGAAAAGGAATACTAAACGGAGTCCAAGCAGAATAAAACTTCACGACAATTTTTCTTGGACCAGAAGACACCCAGGAGACTTGGAGTTCAAGTGAGAAGAGCCACGAGGCGGCGACAAGGGTGTAGGGCGCGCCCAGGGGGGTAGGGCGCGCCCCCTACCTTGTGGGACCCTCGTGACCCTCCTGACCTATTTCTGCCTCCTATATATTTGCAAATATTCCCAAACCACCAGAAGCATCCACGAAAACACTTTTCCACTGCCGCAACCTTCTGTTCCCGCGAGATCCCTTCTAGGGGCCATTTCCGGCATCCTGCCGGAGGGAGATTCGATCACGGAGGGCATCTACATAAATTCTATTGCCCTTCCGATGAAGCGTGAGTAGTTCACCACAGACCTACGGGTCCATAGCTAGTAGCTAGATGGCTCCTTCTCTCTCTTTGATTCTCAATACCATGTTCTCCTCGATGTTCTTGGAGATCTATCCAATGTAATACTTTTTTGCGATGTGTTTGTTGAGATCCGATGAATTGTGGATTTATGATAAGCTTATCTATGCATATTATTTGAATCTCCTCTGAATTCTTATATGAATGATTTGGTATCTTTGTATTTCTCTTTGAATTATAGGTTTGATTTGGCCAACTAGATTGGTTTTTCTTGCAATGGGAGAGGTGCTTAGCTTTGGGTTCAATGTTGCGGTGTCCTCACCCAGTGATAAAGTAGGGGTAGCGAGGCATGTATTGTATTGTTGCCATCAAGGACAAAAGGATAGGGTTTACATCATACTGCTTGAGTTTATTCCTCTACATCATGTCATCTTATTTAATGCGTTACTCTGTTCTTT